CTGAAATGAAAGCACTGATAAACTGGTCTGCATGTGGGATTGTTTTTCTTTGTTTAACCTTTTCCTTTATTTTTTAACGATCTACTTGTTTATAAATGGCTTTATTTTGTGATTAACTTACTTCGGTACTGGATTGCTGTATCAGAGTTCTGAATGTCTCCGGTTGTTTGCACACAGATAACTGCAAAGAGGTTGTCATTACTGGTTACACGCAAGCAGAAGCCAGATCTCTTTCTTAATGGCTTGGGGAAGGCACAAAACATGCAAGAAAGGTAAACGCCATCCAGACTTGCAATTTTAAGCTAGCAAGTGCTGCTTGGTACTGTAGTCATTTCTCTACTCCAGGGTTCTTCAACATTTTCAGAGGCTGAGTACCAAGTAAAATTGAGAAGATTATTGGGGGCTTTTTTGTACCACTGTAAGAGGGTAGTAGTTCTCAAGTTGGGTTTTTGACCAGCCTTATACCTCTGGCTCATGAGCGTCAAAACTTTCTTCAGTCAATGTTTTTTGAGGTGCTTTGTCCTATATGTTGTTTGTCTGTCTGTTTTGCAACCTGTCTACTGTATTCTCCATCTGTCTCCATAAAGCACAGAAATACTGTTAAAATGCTCCCCTCTTTTAAGGTTAACTAAGGACATTTTTCTCCTTTTCTCTTTTTTTCATATGGACTATACTTATGTGTATAGATACAAATATATATATTTTTCAAATGCAAGTTAGTATCGCCTAGACTAACTCACGTGAGCACTCTGAAGATTTTTTGGGTGGGATTTAGTAGCGGCTTTACAGTACTGACCGGTTGCCTATTGCATCAATCTTCCTCCTAGCAACCAGCATTCATTACAGTTTTGAAACTGTATCTCCTCTAGTGGCTTTTTCATTCAATATTAACCTTTGTTTATGCAACAGGACAAATGCAATGGCAGATTTGATGTTCTGGGCTGGTGAGGAAAAATTACCCTAAACCATAGAGTTTTAGAACTACATGGGGAAGACCGTAACAACCCAAATCTTAACAGATCCTTGAGATTGTTGAATAATCCCTGATTGTCATGTTTTATTTTTTGTTAGGAAAAGAAATATAACTTATTGTTGACCATGTAACATGTTCTTCTGTATATAGCCTAGCCCAATAGCATGACCTGCATGTCAGAATTCTTGTACAATAATGTATTTATCAAAGTATACATTTCTGATATTTAGAGATGTACATTGATTTAGTTTTGGTAGGATATTGTCGATAGAGAGATAATTGCTTTTAGCAAAGGAATTAATATAATATCTGGTGCTGCTGTTATATTAACTACAGTGTTGTACAGAATTTATCATGGATTTTTGACTGCTGAAAAAGGGACAGTGGAATTTAGCCATACCAAGGACTGTACTGGAAAGAGACTGCTGCTGCTGAATGGGCCCTGATAAACAACTCACGCCTTGAGGAGGTCACTGAGACTTTACATGCGAAGTAGAGCTTGTTAAAGAAGATTAAAGACTGCTCATAATTACTGCTACTGGAGGAAGGGGTGACTAGTCACTGTTGATGAGTCAGCTGTAAATAAAACGTGTGTGCATGGAATATCAGTTTTTATCTATATCAAGGAAAGCTGAATTCAAGTCATCATTGCTAAGGCTCCATGCAAAGATCCACACCCCTGTGTGTATTCTTCCTGGTTCCTGCAGTAAGTTGTGCTGTGGATCATACAAAGACACACGCTTAATAACAATAGTGATGTAAACTACATCTGTCTTGACTTCTGTCATAATAATGGTGTATTTTGCAACGGTCACAAATATGAACAGAGTAGGTTTGCATAAGTCCTTGCTTTCTCAGTTTGCCATGACCTATATTTGTATGAATTCTAGTGTACATGCCAAGTCTTAAGTTTACTTTTCACTTTGATAACAGAAATGTGACTGCAGACAAACATCACCGACTTTGTTCACAGCACACAGTCTTCTTGCATTGTTACCTCAAACTATAAGTATTATGAGAAATAAAATTCTGGCAGCAAGACTATTTTGTTTTTTTTTTTTTTTTAATTCAAAGTGTTGCAAACCCAACATCAATAAGTATAAAAGATGTATTAAAATTATATCCTACAAATGTATATTTTACATAAAAAAGATATTCTTTGATCAGTTACTTTCTGTGATTTTTGTGGTAAATGGATCTAGCCTATTCTATGTTTATAAGGCATTGTAGTGCTACGATGTGGTAATTATGTTCTCTCCATCCCCTTCAGTGGGAAATTCTCCAGAATCTGTTTTGTCACCCTGGTGTCCCAATTGTAGGGACCTGTCCCAGTTGTGAAACTCTGTATCGTGGAACTTCTGTGAACATGTCAAGGTGCATGCACAATCCTGGTGGAAACCAGTGGAAATGTAATACCTGAATTGGAGAATAAAAGGCAAAAGACCTGGGGAGGAATTTGGAACATATCTTCTGAAGTGGCTCATGCGCTTTCTTTAGCTGCACCGGTCCCCTGCCTGCCACTCGCCATCCCAATTCTCAAACCAGTTTCCTGGGGTACATGAGGAGCTAATTCAAAAACTAGCATGAGCTGGCTTCTAAAACAATTTAAAATCTTCCTTCTTGTTAATGACCCCACGCCTCCTGTGGAAGTTGCAATTGGGCTAGATATTATGAGACTCAAGGCGGTTTTATTGCACCCCGGTGTGAAGTAAACCTAAAAAGGAGGTGATAAATGGTTGCTTAAAACTCCTAATCCAATACTATTTGCGGCAACCAGTGAAATCCCAGGATACACGAGCAGTGTCTGAGAAGGGTGAGGGAGCTAGCACAGCTGTACACTGATCCGAGAGGCTGTTACCACAGTATTTTGGAAAAGGTGCTGGAATGTAAGAAAGATTCCAGAAAACAGGATCAAGAGGCGTTCAAGTTTTGGAAAATGTGTTATAGTGACATACCACAAAAGCTTAATGTGCTGAGTTTGCCCAAAGATTAGAAGTTGTCTGTACTGTGACCTGTGAGCAGTACCCACATGAAGAAGAGGTGTAGTGGTTAGCCAGGACAAGGCTCACAGCCAGCTCCAGTCACGCAGGTCTGATGCAAGCACCCAGAGAGGGGTGTCTGGCTTTCCTCAGTGCTACACGGGGACAGCGAGGAGCCCCAGGTGGGATGCAGACAAGATGGTGCATTGTGTTGGGCAAGACTGTAGAAAACACTGACGGCCAGATGGTGTCTGACATCTTTTACTGTCTCTGGATGGTAAGGAGCTTAAGTCTGGATGGACCTCCAGTGACACAGGACCTTGAGTCCAGAGTATCCTGACTGCAGCTACTTATTTTTTGCCTAGAGAACCAAGCCCATGTCTAAATGCTTTCTTTTAAAACACACCTGGAGGACAAGCTGATGGTGAGTCCATTAACTATTTTTGTGTCTTGGGACTGCAACCCAAATCTGTCTAAGAGGAAGAGTTGGCTTAAGGACCAGCCCTCAAAGACTAGCCCCCTCTGGTTCTTCCCCTGGTTCTGGCCCCAAGAAGGGGTGAAAGTGCATTTTCATGGGAGGTAGGCCATCAAGGTTTAACTTTCTCAGACTGAGGAAGGCTTTGAACCTAGACTTCGCTCTTCAGGGTAATGCGGTTCTTATGTCTCAGATACTATGTACATTTACATTCATTTCCTCTTTTGGCCATCCTTTAAAAATAAGTAGGTACAATGATCTTTTGTAAAGGGGGTCCTCACAGTGCGATGTGCTTATGCAGAGCAGATCTATCCGAGCCCCCAGAGGCCTTCAGCCCTGCAGAAGCAAAACTGCACCTGGAGGAAGGAGTTTTGGGTCAAGCAGGAAGATGCTGTGTGAATGTGGGTGTCCTGGGGATCAAACACTCACCACGAGGTGGTTGTGGGCATTTCTGGGCCTGCTTTAAGAGTCCAAAAACTTATTTAATCCTTGTATAAGTAAGACTTGAGGGTTAGAAATCAAAACTAGCTAGAGTTAAACAAGCAATGAGTTTAGAAGCAATGCATCCATTAAGACAATTTACCAAAGGCTGTTGCCTGTTCACCTTTTAAAGTTGTAAAGTCAAAATGTCAAAAATGAGCATCTTTTTGAAAGATAAACTAGTGCAGGTTGGTGCAGAGGTCAAAAGCTGTGACGTACTGTGGAGATGAGCAGATTATGGGACCTTCGGACTTTGAACGCAGTTATTGTTCTTATGGGGCCTTATTCAGCACTGAGAAAACGTTGCTGTTCCAGCGAATTTTGAGACGCTGTATTATAAGTGTTACAGGTGTGTACTGTAAACTGGTGCCAGAATCACTAAGAAGCATGCAGCTAATGATAATTAGTATAATGCTGTATGTCAGGGGGCTTTTTCATGTGTGAAACAATTATTGTTCCTAAAAAAAGGTCTGGATTAAATTAAAACTGTTAAAAGAGAAGGAAATTTAAGGAAGCCTCTATTCAGATGGGTTATTGAAAACTAGAGGGGGAAGGGACCAGTCGGACATGAGCAAACTTGCCAGCATATTTAATGTGAAGATATGAATTTTAAAAGTCATGAATGAATTAACTATATGAAAGAGGAGGGCATTTTATCATCAGAATAAATCATGCATAAGTCAGATAAAGGAAATTGGAACGGAAAACTGCTACTAGAAAGAGAAAATGAATATATTAATATGCTGTATTACAAGCAGTGGCTTGAACGATTCCATAATAGAGCCTTTGAATACTAACTGAGTGAGAAGAAATTACAAAAAAAGCAAAGGTTTCTATCAGGTTAAAGTTATCAGAAATATTAATATTTTTATAGTACATTATTTTTCCCTTGGAAATACTTGTTATTTATTTAATTTCTAAAGATACAAGTTATTTAAAAAAAGGTGGTTTTTTGAAGTCGAGAGTTAGCTCATGAGCAAATTCTGAGATGTTAGTGTTGGATGTTGGGTACCTAGCTGGTGTGCCATTACCAGCGTTTCCCCCCTACTTAACTGAATATCCCTGGGACGTGTTGAAATTGCAGATGTGTCTGATTCCTGGCCCCAGAGACGGGGATCTGTCATACGCCGGCTCTGTGGGAACACGGGGGTGCGCTCCAGCCAGGTGTGAGCGGTGCAGAGCTCCCGGCTCTGCGGCACAGCCTGTGGAAGCAACCCAAGCCGTGGTCTACATGCAGCTTCTCATTGCCTTCTGGCAAAATATGCATGCTTCCCCCACCCTCTGCAACCTCCTCCCCAAAACCCAGCCTTCTGTCACTTGCATTTTTTTCTCATGAGCATGTTGATGAACAGCTGACAGATTTCAGATTCGTACTTTCACAGCTTCGCATTCACAGATGGCAATATTCTAGCATATTTAAAAAAAAGAAATTGGAGGTGGACACTTTTTGAAAATTTGGCAGCAAAATGTTATGCATGTCATTTGACATCTCCTGTGTTGTTTGCAGGTGGAAGGCTGGAGATCAGGTTAAAACCAGGGCCACAGCTACGCTATACTGAAACTTTCAGGATGTGTTCATTTTATATTCTGTATCTGGTTAGAGCATTGCTGCATTTTACTATGAAGCTCTCAGTTTTCTTCCCAAATGGGATTTGCAGATAAGATGCTAGGGCAAGTCAGAGAGTATTATTTCAAGTTAAATGTTTTCTCTATAGAATGGTTGTGACTACTATAGGACTGTAAACATGAATTGTAATATGAAGAAAAATATATTGATTGGGAAATACTGCGGCTGTAATAGATGGCGGTAATCCATTTTTATCTTGCAGAATGGTATAGGCAGCCTTTCTTTAAAACATGGAAAGCAGACGATTTCGTGTCGGCCTCCTCAGAGCAGCGCTAGACCTGCATGAGATAATGAACTACCAAAAGAAGAAAGTGGAAGTTGTTTCCCTTGACCTTAAGATAGCTTATCTGCAAAAGCAGCAAGATCAGACTTATTTAAGAAGCTTGGCCTTTGCAGTGAAGCAATACAAAACTCCATCAATCTGAAGAATAGTAAACCGTAGCCACGTTATCCTATTAGGCTGATGCTAAATATAGAATGGATTTTCAGTTTCTTACAGGGATTTCCTTACTTTGTGACTAAATGCAGCACCAGGGTTTTATGAAAATCTTATTTTCTTCATGCCTATGAATGTTTTTGGTACAATGCAGTGTTTGGCACTCTGAAAATCTTAAAATGATGCCATTGTTTAGTAGTACTTTTTGCATTTTGCCAGCATGAAAAATCAGGTTTCTTCTGAACTGGAACACGGGAAAGGGGGGTAGAGGGAGCACGGAAGGACATGGTTTTCTTGAACTCTTACAGAATCTGCCGCATGTAACTGTGACCACACAGAAATAAAAATGCGCAGCTTTCCCTGTGTCAGTGTCTTGACATTGACTGTAACTTTTCCAGTTCTGAAACTCCTCTTCTTAGTTTTGGTTGGAAATCATGGCAACAAAATCTATTTAGTTACTGCTCTTTGTAACCTCTACTTAACCCTTGATAAGTTTGATTTAAATCTCTGAATAATGGAGCAATTATAAAGCTTAACAGCACTAGGACTGAGCTCAGACAAGAACTTATGCACAAACTTAATAGGTCTATCTGTAATTATTGAAGAGTTTTCTCAGTACAGGACATTATCTGAACAAGTTCCCAGTGTGAAATGTCCTCACTGAAATAAACAGCAAAACCATCCTTGGCTTACTTAAGCAAGACTAGGTCTTGGGAAGCAACTGATTTATGTCATGAACATTTCCAGGACATTTATCACCAACATCTTAGTAGTCATACATATTTCAGCTGAAATGGTGATAATGATGATAATAATAATAAT